CACACACACATGAGCCGACACTCCATCCTTCACCGGTGAAATCGCCGGCCATCACCCCACCCACCAAAGCCCCCTCCCCCAAATCCCACCAATCAATAGAAACCCCCACCACAAACCGGCGAAAACCATCCATGTCGCCGCCTTATTGCGAAATTGACTCTAATGGAGCTTAAAAAGTCGATTTCAGCCAGTTTGAAGGTGAAGGGTAAGTCCTGGGGTGGTTTTTCGGGGAGGGGGCGAAGTGGCTAGGTGGTTTTCACGGTGGTTTTTGGGGAGGAGGAAGGGGGAATTGGAGGAGTCGACGATTTAGGTGGGGTTTGGGGGCTTTCGGTGGGAGGTTAGTGGGTTCCAGCGGTTGGGTCATGGGATTCCAGCGGTAGGGTTTGTGCTGTTGAGGGCTTAGGCAGGTGATTTCGGTGGTGGGGCTTGGTTGGGTTAGGATTTAGAGTTTTTCTTTTTTTTTTTAATTTTTGTTTTTTTTTTATTTATCAATTTTTTAAACAAGTTGCTGAGTGACACGTGTCCACAGTAAGCCCCACTAACGGATTTTATCTAAGAATCCGTTAGATGGTGGTGAAATCCGAATTTTGAATTTTTTTGTAGTGTCATAATAAAAGTTTGAGATTTTGTGGTGTTAATAATCCAATTTTTGTGAAATTTGTGGTGCTATTTTCTAATTTTCCATAAACATATATGTGTGTGTGTGTGTGTGTGTTTAACCAGGAGGAATCAAACCCCCGTCACACGGGGGGAAATAAAGGGTCTAACCATCCATCCCTCATGTACTATGCAATATGTATACTCCCTTAACTATTTTTAATCATAAAATAAAGTAGAGAGATTTAATAATATATTACCCACATAGAATGAGGGATAGCTCAAGTGGTTAAAGATTCCCTCCTGGTTAAACACACACACATATATATGTATTATAGAAAATTATATATATATATATATATATATAAATATAAATATAAATATATATATATATATATATATATATATATATATATATATATAGGGTTGGGATCCGGTGAGAACCACCCTTTATGTGAGAACACTCCTAATATATGAGAACAAATCTAAGCCTTAGGATCAAACAACATCAACGGCTCTAATAAATCCAAACTTTTCATCAATATACTTCCTGCTACTCAAAAAAACAGAGTGAAGAAACTACGAGCTTCAATTTCAATGAGATTCAAGGATTTCGAACACAATTCCGTTCGATTTTTGTCAGATTTCAGCAGCAACAAGAATCAACAAACATCATAGATTATACAGGTAAATAATTAACAAAAGTTATGTTAGTTTGTTCCGAATATAATTTTCTTAAATTTTTGTTAGTATTTTCGAATTTACGCAGTGTTGTTGTTTATCATTATCTTGTTTGTGTTGACGGAATCCTTTTACTTAGTGCATTATTATGATACTTATGAATATCCTGATAGTGCATACAAGATGTTTGAGAAAATGCTTGTTAGAAATCTTGTGACTTGGTACTCTATTATCAATGAGTTTGTTTTGAATGAGTTTGTAGGTAATACTTCGGATACTTTTGATGCGAAAAATGAACTGCCCTTTGTTATGAATCTTTTTACCCTTTATTTTGTAATTATTTGATAAATTCAATACAAGATATGTAAAATGAGCAAACATAATTAAAATGAGCAAACTAAATATGAAAAGTAATATATTGAAAATAAAATGAGCGAACAAAAATAAAATGAACAAATTGGTCAAAAATGGATGAAAATGAATTTAGGAATAGATATGGTTCTTCTTCTGGGTCTGTGAAAAGAAGGCTTGTGAAAGGGCCTAAAAGAGTTAATTCTTGAGATGTTGAAGCTATGCAGATTACTGATGCTCATGCTCATCACACTAAGGTTTTGTTTCTTTTTCCCTATCTATGGTTTAATTTTGTCGTGTCATATTGATTTTGCTATATGTAGCGTTAAGGGCTAAGTGTAAGCATTAAATATATTTATGACAATAGTACTTCATACAGGATTGATTTAGATGTTTAATGTCTTTATTTATTGCAATTGTTGTCAGAGCTAAAAAATTCAAGTAATTCATTAATCAAGGGTGTTGAGATTTCTGGGAATTTCAGACAAGTGAGGGATGAAATGTGCATAAGAATAGGGGTGTGATTGTGGTTGTGCTTTAGGCCACATTTAATTTTATGATTAAACTATGTGACACTTTTGAGATCATATATTTCTTGTGGTACTACTATATTTGATCACTGTACCATGATATTCTCATAATGATTTTTTTTTTAATCACCAAATCAAATGTGGCATATTAATGTCTTTGATAAGGCATCTGACAGATGGAATAGTGTCTCAAATCGTTTATGTTTGCTGCTCCGAATTTTGTGATGAGATAATCAATTAATCATCATATTGTCTGATTCACAGAAAAACTAGGAATGAATATTGTATGAAGTTTTATTCTGCATTCCAATGCTAATACAATATCATATTGAGCTGTTAGTCTTTTCCTCTGGGACTTTGTATTAGCTTCCCATGGACGAAATTTTGGCAAACTACTTTAAAAAAGTTGTTTGTGTTATTGAGTACAAATCAATTATTATGCAGGAACTATCTACATGGCATACTCTTTCATTGGCATTCCAAACTCTTGGTGTGGTGTATGGCGACGTGGGCACAAGTCCTTTATATGTCTTCACGGACGTGTTTAGCAAGGTGCCTATAACATCAGAAGCTGATATTCTGGAAGCATTGTCTGTCATAATGTATACGATAGCTCTTGTGCCCTTGGAAAAATATGTATTTGTAGTGCTTAAAGTTAATGATAATGGGGAAGGTACATGAATGATTTTCCAACTTTCTTTTCACCTTATGTGCTTTATCAGGAGTTATTTTGCATCTGAAAATAATAGGCTACTTCTGGCTACAGGAGGGACATTTTCCCTGTATTCTCTTAAAAGTAGGTATGCCAAAGTGAATAAGCTTCCAAGTCAACAACAAGCCGACCAACAGATCTCTAGCTATAGGCTCAAACTACCCACTCCGGAACTTGAAAGGGCTTTAAACATTAAAGAGATTTTGGAAAGGGAAGCTTTCATGAAAACCCTTCTACTATTTTTGGTTCTTACAGGAACTTCGTTGATTATAGGGGACGGTATCCTGAGTTCCTGACTCTAACTATGTCAGGTATGCAATTTTTTTCAAATGAGCACATCTATGTAAAAATAGAGTATGTTGGGCTACTCAATATTCTCTCTTTCTTTAACAGAGATTATAGTAATTGTGGAATTGCTACTCAATAAACATCACACTTCCACAGATAAAGTTCAACAATACTAACTAAATAAGTTACAAATAATTGCTTTGTGAGCACTTCCTTTCTGTGTTCTTAGCCTTTTTCGAGTTGGCTGTGCTCAAACTTATCCAATATCTTATAGGATATAGTTTTAGCTGACCACTTTAGAGCAATATAAAATAAAATAAAATAAAAACATAGGAAAGCTTTATATTCACGTAGCCACTTCTTTATGAGCCCAGGCAATTGCTTGCCTCTGCATCGCCAGCTCTTACATGATGACGATTTTTGTAGTCCTTTAACCATTAGTTTGCTCAATTGTCAAATAAGCAAATAATTAGTTACTCATTTGTAAAATAAGCAAACATTTTGTTTGATCATTTGGGAAATGAGCCATCAATTTTTTGATCATTTGGGAAATGAGCAATCAATTTTTTACTCATTTAGAAAACGAGCAAACAGTTAGTTGCTCATTTATCAAATGAGCAAATACTTAGTAGCTAATTTAAAAAATGAGCAAAAACTTAGTTGCTAATTTGTCAAATGAGCAAATAGTTAGTTGCTCATTTGTCAAATGAGCAAACATTTCTTTAATCATTCATTAAATCAACAAGTATTTCTTTGCTCATTTATCAAATGAGCAACAATTCTTTGTTCATTTTATCAAATGAGCAAACAATTCTTTGTTGATTTATCAAATGAGCTGATTAAAAATTTATAACATAGAAAATGATTTAAAACATATGATAAACCTATTAGCTCAATTGGTAGAGCACTATGCAAATGCATAGGGGATGTAGGTTCAATTCCTACATAGGTTATCTCTATAAAAAAAATTAATTAGAAAAATAAATCAAATTCGTACTAAATTATATGTGCGAAAAAATGATTTGAAATGATTTATAACTAAATAAACTTTGTTACAATTAAACTCTCGTACAAACTTGTGCAACCACATTACATAAATGAACCTACGTGGGATTCGAACCCACATCTTTTGTGCATTTGCACAATGCTCTACCCTTGAGCTAGTAGGCTAACGTATTTAAAACATTCAAACACACTCACAAATGAGCATTAATTTGACAAAATGAGCAAGAATCATTTGTAAAATGAGCAAAAATTCAATGCTCATTTGTAAAATGAGCAAATAGTTTGTTGCTCATTTGTAAAATGAGCAAATAGTTTGTTGCTCATTTGTCAAATGAGCAATCATTTCTTTAATCATTCATTAAATCAGCAAGCATTTCTTTGCTCATTTGTGAAATGAGCAAACATTAATTTGCTCATTTGTCAAATGAGCAAATAATTAGTTACTCATTTGGAAAATAAGCAAACATTTCTTTGATCATTTGGGAAATGAGCAATCACTTTTTTGCTCATTTAGCAAATGAGCAAATAGTTAGTTGCCCAAAAAAATACAATTTAAAATAAAAAACAAATTTAACAAACCGGGAAGTGCATATAACAAAAACAGTAGTGAATCAGTAATTTGTCAGCGTATACAAGGCCCTAGATAGTAATAAAATCCACCATATCAGTCTGACTGCCAAAACGAAACGTGACACCTAGCAATCAGTGAATGAATTAGATCACATACTGATATTCCCACAGTTCAAATTACTACAAGGTTGTCCAGTTTTCTGAATCCTAAAGTAATAATTCATACTTAATAAATACTGCTCAACTAGTCTTGTAAGGTAAAAAATACTTCAGTATTATGCAAACCGAAGGAAAAAGAACAAGTGAACACATACTTAGATTGGAAATTCTTGCATAAATATGGGACATCAGCATCTAACAACTAAAAGGAAACACATACTCTGTCCAGAAAAAGGCTTCTCTTCATACTATTCTTAAATAATGCAAGTTGAAGTTCCTCCTGATCATTATAATTGATAATTGTATTAGAATAAAGAAATAATAATAACTTAGATATAGCAATAATATAATGCATAACAACTCTTCATTTTCTACCATATAAAATAGATTAAGTATCATCAAGAATATTATATACCTTTTGAATAAAACCATCTTTGACAACAGAGTTGCTGAGTTTATTGAATAAGTCATATAAAAGATCCACTTCTTCCTCAGTAACTGCAACACAAAACAATCAATAACAGTTAGAAAGATCAAAACTTTAGAGTCTACAACATGTTCAAATTGGGCCATTTGAATTTCAGCCAGAGAACTTTCAACCATAAATATTAAATACCAAGAAAGATGACAGCTTAAGCAACAAAATTATAGCCTCAATCAATTTCTTGCAATTATACTCAGATTTAGAGCTATGAAATATTCACATTTAGATCCAACACCATAAAACAAAAACACAAAAAACAAAAATGAAAGAAAACTGGAAAAAAAAATTCAGTGAGGGCATTTCGTCGAATACCTTGTAAGCAGTCACAATTCTCAGCTTCTTTGCGTACAACATCAAGAACATAATCAATCAATCACCCACATCACAAAAAGAACATGTCTACAATAAAGTAGGCATAAATTACTAAGGTAATAAGCTGATATAATCAATTAAGCAAACTAAATTCATATGAGCAAACTATAAAACATGAGCAAACTAAATTCAAATGAGCAAAGTGAAATAAAATGAGCAAACTAAAATAAAATGAGCATGCAATTTAAACTAAAATAAATTGATACTTACATTCATCGTTCTTAAGTAACAACTGGAAATTTTGGCTCATCGCTTGGATCGGAGCTTCAGTTGAATCCATTTGCAATTCGCGATTTCTAGAGTTTCAGCAAATAATCGAAAAACCCAATTCATGAATAACATAATTTTGTATCAAATTTTAGCAACATTATATCAATAATAAATAACATTAGACTAAATAACTCAATATAATAGTGAATATTCAGCAAATATCGCTGGAAAATTCAATCACAAACAAAAAATTCAGATTATAAACAAAAGCATGATTAAACAAAATTCACAAGAATACAAAATCGTAAACGAACAAACACAATCATTTATCAGATTGTCATCCGTATAGACCAATTAAAACCATAATTTAACAAAAACAAGTAATAATTTAATATTAGGCTGAAAAAAAACATACAAAAAATCGAAAAAGGCAAAATTGAGCGTCATACTATACATAATGAAAAAATTTGAATAACAAAAGAATTTGATGATGACATTGAGGAGCTTACAAAAATTTGATGATAAATCCCGCCGATTTGATCTTCATGTAAGTGGAGTTTCTTAGTGGAAAATTTAGAGAGAGAATGAGTGAAACCTGATAAAGTTTCATAGAGGAAGTCGTTTGGAAAAAGAGGAAGAAGAAAGAGGTGTAGTTTTTGTGAAATTTACAAAAAAGCCATTACTAATACTGTTTTTCGAACATTGGATCAATTTTGATCAATGGTCTAGATTTGTTCTCATATAGATTAGAGTTCTCACATAAGGGATGCGTTCTCACATGATCCCATATATATAAGGTTGGGATCCGGTGAGAACCACCCTTTATGTGAGAACACTCCTAATATATGAGAACAAATCTAAACCTTAGGATCAAACAATATCAACGGCTCTAAAAAATCCAAACTTTTCATCCATATACTTCCTGCTACTCAGAAAAACAGAGTGAAGAAACTAAGAGCCTCAATTTCAATGAGATTGAAGGATTTCAAACACAATTCTGTTAGATTTTTGTCAGATTTCAGCAGCAACAAGAATCAACAAGCTTCAGAGATTATACAAGTAAATAATCAACAAAAGTTATGTTAGTTTTTTCCGAATCTAATTTTCTTAAATTTTTGTCAGTATTTTCAAATTTACGCAGTATTGTTGTCTATCATTATCCTGTTTGTGTTGACGAAATCCTTTTACTTAGTAGATTAATTTTTGTTATGAATTGTGTAATTGTGTCACAGTTAAAACTTGGTTTAAAATAGGTTATTGGTGCATTTTTATGATACTTATGAATATCCTGATAGTGCATACAAGGTGTTTGATAAAATCCTTGTTAAAAATCTTGTGACTTAGTACTCTATTATCAATGAGTTTGTTTTGAATGAGTTTGTAAGTAATACTTCGGATACTTTTGATGCGGAAAATGAACTGCCCTTTGTTATGTATTCTTTTTACCCTTTATTTTGTAATTATTTGATAAATTCAATAGAAGATATGTAAAATGAGCAAACATAATTAAAATGAGCAACCTAAATATGAAAAGTAATATAGTGAAAATAAAATGAGCGAACAAAAATAAAATGAGCAACAGGTCAAAAATGGATGAAAATGAATTTAGGAATAGATATGATTCTTCTTCTGGGTCTGTGAAAAGAAGGCTTGTGAAAAGGCCTAAAAGAGTTAATTCGTCAGATGTTGATGCTATGAGATTGCTGATGCTCATGCTCATCACACTAAGGTTTTGTTTCTTTTTCCCTATCTATGGTTTAATTTTGTCGTGTCACTTCGATTTTGCTATATGTAGCGTTAAGGGCTAAGTATAAGCATTAAATATATTTTCGACAATAGTACTTCATAGAGGATTGATTTAGATGTTTAATGTCTTTATTTATTGCAATTGTTGTCAGAGTTAAAAAATTTCAAGTAATTCATTAATCAAGAGTGTTGAGATTTCTGGGAATTTCAGACAAGTGAGGGATGAAATGTGCAAATAGGGGTGTGATTTTGGTTGTGCTTAAGGCCACATTTAATTTTATGATTAAACTATGTGACACTTTTGAGATCATATATTTCTTGTTACTATATTTGATCACTATAACATGATATTCTCATAATGATTTTTTTTTTTAATCACCAAATCAAATGTGGCATATTAATGTCTTTGATAAGGCATGTGACAGATGGAATAGTGTCTCAAATTATTTATGTTTGCTGCTCCGAATTTTGTGATGAGATAATCAATTAATCATCATATTGTCTGATTCACAGAAAAACTAGGAATGAATATTGTATGAAGTTCTGTTTTGCATTCCAATGCTAATACAATATCAAATTGAGCTCTTAGTCTTTTCCTATGAGACTTTGTATTAGCTTCCCATGGACGAAATTTTGGCAAACTACTTTAAAAATGTTGTTTGTGTTATTGAGTACAAATCAATTATTGTGCAGGATTTCATTTGCATTCCAAACTCTTGGTGTGGTGTATGGCGACGTGGGCACAAGTCCTTTATATGTCTTCACTGACGTGTTTAGCAAGGTTCCTACAACATCAGAAGTAGCACTATTTGTAATAATGTATACGATAGCCCTTGTGCCCTTGGCAAAATATGTATTTGTAGTGCTTAAAGCTAATGATAATGGGGAAGGTACATGAATGATTTTAATTTCCAACTTTCTTTTCGCCTTATGTGCTTTATCATGAGTTATTTTGCATCTAAAAATAATAGGCTACTTCTGGCTGTAGGAGGGACATTTGCCCTGTATTCTCTTATAAGTAGGGACATTTGCCCTATATTATTTTTTGCTCATTTTGCCAAATGAGCAAATTATTCTTTGCTCATTTTGTCAAATGAGCAAATAATTCTTGCTCATTTGTCAAATGAGCAAAAAAAACTTGCTTATTTGTCAAATGAGCAAGCAATTATTTGCTCATTTATCAAATGAGAACATAATTCTTTGCTCATTATCAGACGAGCAAACAAATCTTTGCTCATTTATCAAATGAGCAACAATTCTTTGTTTATATTATCAAATGAGCAAACAATTCTTTGTTGATTTATCAAATGAACTGATTAAAAATTTATAACATAAAAAATGATTTAAAACATATCATAAAACCTATTAGCTCAATTGGTAGAGCATTATGCAAATGCATAGAGGATGTAGGTTCAATTCCTACATAGGTTATCTCTATAAAAAAAATTAATTAAAAAAAAAATCAAATTCGTACTAATTATATGAGCAAAAAAATGGTTTGAAATGATTTATAACTATATAAACTTTGTTACAATTAAACTCTTATACAAACTTGTGTCTCCACATTACATAAATAAACCTACGTGAGATTCGAACCCACATCTTTTATGCATTTGCACTATGCTCTACCCTTGAGCTAGTAGGCTAATGTATTTAAAACATTCAAACACACTCACAAATGAGCATTAATTTGACAAAATGAGCAAGAATCATTTGCTCATTTGAAAAATGAGCATTAAATAGTTTGCTCATTTGACAAACAAACATTGAATTTTTTTGCTCATTTGACAAATTAACGCTCTGATGAAGCTAGATAGGCTCTGATGATCAAAATTGTTTAGTTTGTGCTTATGCAAATGAGACTCGATCTTAGGCAGTTGAACAAATGAGAAAAAAAGTATTTGCTCATTTGATAAATGAGCAAAAAATTATTCTCATTTGATAAATGAGCAAAAATTATTTGCACATTTTTGCTCATTTGATAAATGAGCAAAAAATTATTTGCACATTTGATGAGCAAATAGTTAGTTTCTCATTTGTCAAGTGAGAAAACATTTCATTAATCATTCATTTGTTAAATAGTTAGTTGTTTCCTTCTGTTTCCCTGTCAATCTTAACATCATAGAATTTAGCTGCCAAAGTAAAAAAATTCTTCACATAATTCATAACTTTCTTCCACCCCTGCTCGTGTCCCTGAATTCCATGCTTTTGCTGCAATCCAGTTTCGTTCTCACCTTCCAACCTCGCCTTTCCCAAAGAAATTATCAGGCCCTAGCTCAGTCATCCCAGTTTGGGCTCTCTTCATATATTTCAGTTTATCAAGCTCATGACCAGATTCTTGAACAAGGATTGCCAGAGTGGTGCGGATCACAACTATCTCAGCTACTAGCATTGGTTATCCTAATGTGTAGAAGTTGAGGAGATCATGCACGACATGCAACAGCTTCATGTGCTGCAAGTGAAAGGAATTCTGTAGTGAAGTCAGTGCAGCCCATCATAACTTAAATTTGAGTTATAGCAGTAGCGTGGTCATTCTCTTGCAAGTATATCTTGAACTGCTCACAAATCAAAAGAGAAAAAAACTACTACAGTGAGGTTTATTTGATAGAATGAAATAAGGTTTCTTCTATCAATATAAACAAAAGCAAGCAAAGCGTACAATACCTTCAGAAATCAAAATTTATATCTATATTTCATACTACTTTAACAGCCACAACAAGCGACACTTGAAAAGTTGAAAGCATTATGCAGAGTTATTTACCTCAAAAACTACATTCCACTTCAGAAAAAGCTGGAATTCTTTCAATTGAAATCTCACTCTTTCTAAAACTAACAAATTAGACTTTTAGTAAAATTATGAAATATACTTAATAAAAGTTGTTGGGACAAAGTCACAAATATTTCAAATTGCAATCTGCTTGTTTCATAGAGCAAGATCTCCAATACTATCCCTTCCCCATACAAGGTATGTCCAAAAGGACCAGAGCAACATCCATAACATTCAATCATCAGACGATTCAAACAGCTAAACAGCTAAACTAGGATATCAGATTATTAGACAAGATTTACAACTAAAAATATGAACCACTGACCAGGTCTTCCTAGAAGCGCCCAGAAACAGCCTACTTGAATCGGATGATCCACTTGCCACCATTGCAGTTAGCAGAATCCTAATAAGGTATAACCACAACAACCACAATGAAAGACCACAGAAAACCTGGGAGACCATTACCATGAACAAGAAAAAAACACAACAACAACGACACCAATTATCCTTAATTCAATCTACATTACTTGACTGTCGAGCACAACAACAACGACACCAACAATCAAAAAAATGGCACGAAAATCGCCCAACAAAACCACACATAAATCGCACAAAATAATGGTAAAATGAAGAAAAAAAATCAAACAATAATAATCAAGAGTAGCGCTGAAATACCTAATATTGTTGAAATCGAACACTAAAATCGCTGAAATTCCAGCCCTAAAATCGCCAAACTTTGAACCCTAAAATTGCCGAAAATAAATGAAAATAAAAATATGAAAAATGAAAAATCGATCTTAACTCATGCGAAATTCATGGAAATCAATCAGAAAATCGCATAAATAAAATCACAAATATCGCAAAAACTAAAATCGCAAAAATCAAATCAAAAAATTGCAAAATCTACTTGAACATCATGCGTTTTTCATGAAAATTTGAACAAAATCGAAAAAAACGTACCTGATTTGAGCAATTTAGGTTGTTTATGCGAAATTTGAACAAAAATTCTTCAATTTGCAGCAATTTGTGTTCAATTTTGGAATTTGAGGAGAGAGAAAGACAAGAGGTTTGAAAGT